AGTGACGTGAGACCCAACAGCAAAGCCACTGGCAAACACAGTCTAGTGTCTGTGACACCCGGGACCCTTGGTGAAATTAAATAGCACATCTGGCAGAACTAGCCCCAGCTCCTGGGTGCTCCCAGAGGCCGCTGCTCTGAGCCCTGATAAGATGCTATCAGCAGGCCCCTCTAAGTACACAAAGCACTTTAAGCAGATCACTGGGCAATTACCATAAAGAGGGAAAGATACTGCCTCTATTGATGGGAGAGTAATATGGAACACAAGACCATTGATTTTTTTTTTCTGCGTCTTATTTCTGATAATAAACTTGTTCTGCAGCCACCTGAGGTTGGTTGGTTTGCCATAAAACTGGAGATTTAGTGAGAATATGTTTAGATACAAATATTTCAGAAGAGAGTCCTGCTTTTTAATTTATACTTGGGTTTGTGGGGTTTTTTGTGTAGAGATGCGTCTCTACAAAACAGTGTGTTTGTCTTTCTCACAAAAGTGCTAGAAGAACGTGCAAGTATTATTAATGGCTTTATCCAAAGATTTTTACGTGCCATTTCGTAACTACCATGTATTAAGTGCCTGCTATATTCCAGGCACTGAATGAGGTATTACAAAGACAGGATAATTCAATTGTCACAAAATTATACCCAAGGCAAATATGCCGTCCTCACACTGCAGATGAGAAAGCCAACGTCCAGAATGATTGGGAAACTTGCCCCAGATGATAAGTGGTGAAGAAGGGAATGAGACCTGGTAGATATTAGAATAGTTCTATATAATTGTAAAGGTAATTTTACCATTTTCTATTAATTATTTAACAATTACCCATTGCAGAGATACTGGAGAAGTAGAATTCAGAGTATTCAAAGCTTAATTGTATAGAAACATTAGTGAAGAAAAACAGAAGACAGAATGATGACACAAGTCTCCAACCTGGACCACTAAGAGGCTGGTAATGCCTTTAACCAATCCAGGGAAGAAAGAAAATAAACAAAGAAAGAGCAAGAGGTGTGAAGTGACAAGTTCCTCTTGGGGGCAGTTTTTACATTATTAAAGTGATATAAATAAAATACATATTATTTTAGGCCAGGTGTGGTGGCTCATGCCTGTAATCCCAACACTTTGGGAGGCTGAAGTGGGAGGATTACTTGAGGCCAGGAGCTCGAGGACAGCCTGGGCAATGTAGCAAGACCCCATCTCTACAAAAAGTTTAAAAATGTTCTAAAATTTAGTGCTTATTTAAGAAATATTATTTTAGCGTATTTATTATTTTATATACTATAAAACATATAAAATGTATATATTATGTACTTACACAATATACATTTTCATATGTTTATTATTGTTACTAGAGTAATGTAAAAAAATTGAGAAGTGGGAAGCGGAGAAGTAATAAATTATCCATAATGTCATCATTTCATCCCAGTTGTCCTCCATTTTGTATTCCTATATTTTTGTATGCATCTTTTTGTTTATAATTGCAGTAAGAGTGCATATCAAATGGTTTTTTTCATCATGTGAATTAATTCAGAGACATTGCTACCTAATCTTCATATTTATTACTTTTCATGTATCCCTCCCATCCCATCCAGAGGATACACTATTACTGACTTAACGGTGTCTCTTATTGTTCAGGCAATTAGCTGACTTATGACTTTCAGCTATTTTAAATCACTTTGTGTTGAATAAATTTACGTACTCTCCTTAAGGTGCTCAGATGCCCAGAAGTAGGATTCTGGGTGGGTCAGATTCTGTTTATTTTTTATGCAGGTGAATTCCAATAAAACACTTATTGGACATGTGAATTCTGAGTCCAAAATTCAGGAGGAAAGTCAAGGCTAGAGATAGAGCTCTGGGTGTAGGGGCGTCGCTCTTGGAGCAAAGTGCAGCCAAGGCATGGCAGGAGTGCTAAAATATGATGGCTAATTCTTTGATCCTTCTCCCAGTGAGAGGGGCCATCTATGTCCCCCACCCATGAGTCTGGCAGGATTTGTAATTGCTTTGAAGGAAAGATTTTGATGGCTGGGGAAGAAGCGTGGCTCACAATGACAGGGAGCAGACGACACTGTGGAATGGCCCAGGCCGTATCATGAAAGTCTGTGTACATCCACCTACTTCTCCTGGTGCGTTCACTCTGGGAAGTCCTAGTTGCCATCCCGTGAGAAGCCCTAGTCACACAGAGGGACCGCAGGTAGGTGCTCTGGCTGAGTCTCAGATTAGACAAGACTTGATGTCATCCCAGTCCAAGACCCAGACATGTGAGTGAAGACGCCTTCAGAAAATTCCAGCCTCCCTCTGTTGGAAACATGTCCCAGCCATTTGACACATTCCTGACCAGGCCCTATAGAATGTGGAAGAGATGCAAGCTATCCCTGTTCTGCCTGTTCAAATCCCCGGCCCATAGAGTGCAAACGTGTAATAAAATTGTTGATGTATCATGACTCTCGGTTTAGGGAGGTTTGATGGGCAGCAAAAAAACCAGAGGTGAATTTGGTACCGGGAAGGGGTCTCTGCCGTAATAAAAGGTGAAACTGGCAGCATGGGTTTTGGAGCCCAGTGATGGGAGAAGCCGAACAGTCCTCGGGGAGGTCATCAACGAGGGCTTGAAGGATAGTGAAGACACAGGTGTCGGGAGCTAAGAAAGGAGCCATTGTTACCTAGCAGCAATGCCTTCTGCAACACTGTCCCATCAAAATGTACTTAAACTCAACCATGAAGATAAAGGAGAATTTCAGGGGAGTGTTGAAGGCTTGCCTAGCTTTTACCACTCTAAAATAAAATGAGAGAGTAAGAGAGATAAACTAAAGAATGAATTACTCCATAATTCGGAGAAAATATATAATTGAGAGGAAATGTAAGTGAAAGGAAATGTACCTGATAACAAATTTGAAGGGACTGTAACAAAGAGCAAAGAGTCCTCAAAATAAGAAACAGGCTGGGCACCGTGGCTCACATCTTTAACCACAGCACTTTGGGAGGCCAAGGTGGGAGGATTGCTTGAGACTAGGAGTTCTAGACCAGCCTGGGCAACAAAGAAAGACCACGTCTCTATAAAACATTAAAAAATAGCCAGGCATAGTGGTGCACGCCTATAGTCCTAGCTTCTCTTCTCAGGAGGCTGAGGCAGGGGAATCACCTGAGCCCAGGAGTTGGAGGTTGTAATGAGCTATGTTCTCTATACCGAACTCAAGCCTGGGCTACAGAAGAAGACCCTGTAGGGAAAGAGAGGGGAGGGGAGGGGAGGGGATGGAAGGGAAGGAGGGGAGGGAAAGACCAACCTCAGGGCAAAGATCAAATCCAAGGCCTTTTCAAGAAACAAAATGCCACTACATTTGAGGCGGCTTTTTATGCAGCAAAAGGTTCCCAAAACATGCAAAAATGAGATTCTCAGAAGAGAAGCACCATGGATGGAAAAGAAGGAACTGAGGCCTGAGGGAACAAAAAGAAAAAAAATTTTAATAAGCAAAATGAGAAGAGATATTCTTAAAGGAATCAATTGCTCATTATCGCAGAATGGAATATAACTTCTTTCACTGGGTATAATTATTTCGAGATTCATCTGTTTCATTTCATGTATTTAAGTGTATGGTTGTATCACGATTTGGTTATCCATTCACACTTTGAAGGACAGTGGAGTTCCTTCCAGGTTTTAGAGATTAGAAATAGTGCTGCTGAAAGCATTCACACACAGATTTTTGTGTGAACCTGTTTTTATCTAAGATAAATTCCTAGGCGTGATATTGCTGGGTCATGAGGGATGGATATGTTTACCTTTTTAAGGAAGTGTCAGACTGTTTCCCAGAGCAGTTGGACCACTTTGCATTCCCACCAGCGGTGGAAGAGAATTCCGGTTGTTCCAACATCCATCATCACTTGGCATCCTCAGTGCTTTGCATTTTTGCTGCTCTAAGAGGTACGTAGTGGCACCTCATTGTGTTAATTTGTATGTTCCTAATGACTAATGATTTTTTCATTGGCTTACTTGCCTACCTTTTATCTACTTGGTGAAGCTTCTGTTCAAATCTTTCACACATTTTTAAATTAGGTTGTCTGTTCCCTTGTTGTTGAATTTTGAGAGCTCTTTATTCCAGATATGTATCTTTTGTCTGATACATTATCTGCCAACATTTCCTCCCAATCTGTAGCGTGTCTTTTCAGTTTCTTACGTGTGTTCTTTGAAAAGCAAAATGTTTTTAACTTTCATGAAATCCAACTTACCCGTTTTTCCTTTATGGTGAGAGTACTTACCTACAATGGGTCGGACTCAGGGAAGTGGGGAAGGAGAGAAGTTGCTGAATCTGTTCTGTATCCTGTTTGTGGGAGTAGTTATGAGAATCTGTGCACCTAAGACACATTGGATGATAGATATACCAAAAAATGTGAATGTAAATTCCTCAAAAATCTCTTCTACATCTACTAACATACGGTGGAGGGAAGACTGTACCTGACATAAATCAGAGCTTTCCAATGCATAAAAGCTTATTTTTTATTAGAGAAAATATAAAGCGGAACATGTCTATAGGCATGAAAGTGGCGTACGTTTATATCCCAACTCTCTGCATTAACATAATTTATATGCTGATTTTATGCTAATTTCAGCAGTTAGCCAATAGCAAAAGAATTCGTTCTTTTGGGAATTTTGCCCAGCAGAAAAGATGCTTACGTATTAGGGATGCCAGTGTTTCATTTGTGCCTGGGTTCACGTGATGGAGCGCAAGGAAAACGAATGAGTTCATAGCAGGGCTCTAAGTGCCCCAAAACATTTAGGGCCATTCGAAACTATTCAGATTATTGACTCCACCTCCAGATAAACAAGATCAAACAGCCTGGTCTTTTTTCCCTCTGCCTTTGTAACTAACCAAAGCCTGAAGCTCTCAGCAGTACCTTCCTAATTGGCTTCATTGTTTGCTGATTGTGCTTAGAGCAGTTAACATTTGCATTTCCAATGGACCAGCCTGACATTTCAGTTCCCTTTAAATGACCCTTAATGGTTTTCTATGTTTCAGCAAAACCAGAGAATCCACTCTTGGGAGTAATTGTTACTTACACAAGGTAAGTGCAAGTTTTTTGTTGTTGTTTGTTTTGTTTTTTTGCTTACGGACTTTAGAAGATACAGATATTGGAGTGTGGGTTTGGGCATGTATTGGAAGACATAATTCATTCTTATTCTTCCATGAAAGACGCAGAAGTGAGACTGGGAGCTAAACCCGAGCAACCTTCTGACACTTTTCACTTTACGCCCAGCATTTTCCCATTTGTATGGCTTTTCTTACAGGATTGGGACACTCTCTGTTTCTGTGCCCCACAGCGCCACCCTTGATTTCACAAGCTACGATAAAGTGCCCCCGCTGCTACATCGTTGGCACCACCCTTATTTTACCACTAATTACGTTCTCCTTCATATATTGTTTATTACACACTGTTCTCTAGCTCCATTCCACTGCGGCTTCTGGTGGAAAAAGATCATGTCTTATTCAGTTTCTTCCTCTCAAAGGGCTTTGAACATTTGCAGACACTTTCATCTTGTCTGTAGCTTGTTTTCATTCTCTTCACTGTGTTCTTTGAGAAGCAAACTTTTTTGCTGTGATGAAGCCCAATTTATCACTTTTTTCTTTCATGGATAGTGTTTCTTGTGTTATATCTAAAAACTCTTTGCCAGATCCTAGGATTGAGGGTGGGGAAAACATCTATGTACAAAAGTTTAACGTGAAGCAATCGGGGGAGGGGGAGTGTGAGAATTATTAGATATTCTCTTTGTGTGGGGGTTCAAATTTCATAAAACTCACAGAACTGTACACCAAAATATTTATGTGTCACTTTCTGAAGTGCTAAAGGAATGTTTGCTCGATTTGTTTGTTTTATTATTACTATTCTGAGACAGGGCCTCACTCTGTCACCCACTCTGGAGTGCAGTGGCATGATCACACTTGCAGCCTCCACCCTCAGATTCAAGGGATTCTCCTGCCTCAGCTTCCCAAGTCACTGGGATTACAGGCACCTGCCATCATGCCAAGCTAATTTTCATATTTTAATAGAAACCGGGTTTCACTGTGTTGGCCAGGCTGGTCTTGAACTGCTGACCTCGGGTGATCCGCCGGCCTCGGCCTTCCAAAGTGCTGGGATTGCAAGCGTGAGTCACGGTGCCTGGCTGCTTTGTTTGTATTATTAAGGAAATTATTTTTGCTAAATTATCCTGGAAACATACTTTTCAAAATACAAGCCATATTCTTGTTACCCCAGCAAGCGAAGGGAATGGAGTAAAATTGTGTCACTCACTTAGGAATATAGATGAAGCATATCCTCTGTACCAAAGTACTTTTCTTCCTCTCCTCTTCAGATGATCCTCAATGGCAACTGTTGTGTCTCCAGCAACATGTGAACCATAATGAAGAGCGGAATAAAACTATGATTCATCTTCGGAGGTTCTCCATTTTCCCCCTTACATTTGAGTGATAGAAAAAGTATTCAGCTGGGCACAGTGGCTCATGCCTGTAATCCCAGCACTTTGGGAGGCCGAGGTGTGTGGATTGCCTGTGGTCAGGAGTTCGAGACCAGCCTAGCAGACATGGTGAAATCCTGTATCTACTAATAATATAAAAATTAGCTGAGCATGGTGGTGGGTGCCTGCAATCCCAGCTACTTGGGAGGCTGAGGCAGGACAACTACTTGGACTCGGGAGGCAGAGGCTGCAGTGAGCCGAGATCACGCCACTGCACTGCAGCCTGGGTGACAACAGTGAAACTCCATCTGAAAGAGAGAGAGAGAGAGAGAGAGAGAAGGGAGGGAGGGAGGGGAATGAATGAAGGAAGGAAGGAAGGAAGGAAGGAAGGAAGGAAGGAGGGAAGGGAGGAAGGAAGGAGAGAAGAAGTATCCCATCCTATGGTCTCTCCATATTGTTAGCTTCTTCCTGGGAAGGAGGGTGGCTTGGACACAGGAAGAGGAAGAAAGAGAGCACTAACCTCTCTTCCTCCTCCCCCCTTTGAAGGCTGCCTCAGAGGGAATGTGGGCTCACTCATCCCCTCCTGCAGCAGGTACAGCAGGATACTTCAATTCTGATCTCCATGGGCCTTGCCATCTTAGGAACTGATACCTCGTAGAGGCCATGCATCCCTAGCTTCCTGCGCACCTTTTAGAATTACATCTGCCATGCCCTCCTGGAGATGTTGACATCCACAAAGCAGGAAATGCTGAGGGGCTCCCAGACCTTACTCATGAAAAGGAATTTTATTGCTCCTGAACTCAAAGCTTGCTGGCTCTCCACAATAAAGGCTTTCTCCATTTCCATGGCTGTGTGCCAATAAGGAAATAGGACAAGATTTATGAGCATGGCCCAAAACCCATGCCACAGCAGGGTTAAAACAATTTATATATATATATATATATATATATATATATATATATATATATAAAAGCAGAAGAAATGGTCTTGAGTGGACACAGATTTGCCGATGACTCAATCACCTTTTATTTTAAGGCAAGGTATCTTTCTTGGGAGAGAATAAATGAACCATTCCTCCGATGTCTACCGTCACTTTGTTTTGAGGAACGATGGTGGCGTGCCATCACAGAACACAGGCTACTCAGAAATGTCACACTGACTGACGTGTACAATTGATTTATGACATGTACATTGCCTTAAGGTCTCCCGGCTTCTGCGCAACATCTAAACTCATAACAACTAAACTAAGTCCATCAATTAGTAAGGTAAATTAAAGATTCAATCTTCAATCAGTCTAGAAGAGACTTAGAAGGGCTATGTAGTAGGCACTTAGACCTTATCCCTAATAAATTACATACACTCCTCTGCAGCATTGTGTATGCCACCCTCTCCTAAGTGGCTTCAGCTGTGAACATACAGCTCTGTGATGATATAAAGCCAATTAGCCTTAGACAGTAGTGGAGTGAAATTCCAATTGCAAACTTTTTACAGCCTAGCAAAGCACTCCCTGAAAACTTACAGAAATTCCACATAGATCTAAGGCTCTGCTTAGCAACAGTTAACAGTGCAGGGACTATTACACCAATTTCCTTCTTTTTTTTCTGTAATGACTTTACGTGTCAGAGTGGCAGGAAAAGGTGGCACATACTGCCAAAATTGTTTCTAAAAACAGTTTACATGGAAAGCAAAATTAAAAATAAGTAAGATAATGCTACATTGCAAGGAGCTTGAAAAAAACAAAAACAAGTAATATTTTTTATATACAGGCATCAATATGTTTGACGCTTCTGTTTTCTTAAGAGCAAAATTGTAGTTACTTAATATCATTTACTTCACCAAACTACATATATAAGAACACCCAACTTAATTTAACTGAAATGTACATCTTCAGAGCTTTAATCACTAAAAAAATTAAAAATTGAGAGACCAGGCACAGTGGTTCAAGTCTATAAACCCAGCACTTTGGGAGGCTGAGGTGAGAGGTTTGCTTGAGCTCAAGAGTTTGAGGCCAAGCTGGGCAACATAGTGAGACTCTGTCTCCACAAAAAAAAAAAAAAAAAAAAAATGCAAAAACTAGCCAGGCATGGTGACTCACACCTACTCTCCCAGCTACCTGGGAAGCTAAGGTGGGAGCCCTCCTCGCCTGAGCTCAGGAGGAGGAGGCTGCAGTGAACCAAGACCACACCACTGCACTCCAGCCTGGGCAACAGAATGACACTCTGTTTCAAAAAAAAAAAAAAAAACAACCTGAGAAATTCACAATAAACAACAATTGAACTCGGCTATCAAAGGAGGCTCAAACAATAAAATAAGTCATTTATTCCATCTTTTGCCAATCCACTGTGTGATGAAAAAAGTGAAGTATAGGGTAGAAAAGTATTTACAAGGTCCAGTAGCATGAAAGGCATAGAAATTGCATTGTATTTAAGTATTCATTTATTCAGTAGCTATACATACACAAAGTGCTTTCCAGATGCAGGATCTTTTCAAAGCACTGACCCAGGAAGAGAGCTTTGATTCCCTACCTTCACCACTATTCCACACTGAGTCAAAGTATGAGATTTTTTTTTTTTTTATCAGTAATTGTCTACCTTGGCCAGGCGCAATAGCTCATGCCTATAATCCCAACACTTTGGGAGGCCAAAGAGAGAGGATTGTTTGAGGCCAGGATTTCAAGGCCAGCCTGGGCAACACAGCAAGACTTCATCCCTATTCTTTTATTAAAATAATGATAATTCTCACTCCATCACAAAGATACATGTACATGTATGTCCATTGCATCACTATTCACAATAGCAAAGACATGGAATCAACCCAAATGCCCATCAACAATAGACTGGATAAAGAAAATGTGGTACATAGACACTATGGAATACTATGCAGCCATAAAAAGGAGCAAGATTGTGTCATTTGCAGGGACATGGATGGAACTGGAAGCCATTATCCTCAGCAAACTAACAAGGGAAAAGAAAACCAAGCACCGCATGTTCTCACTTATAACAGAGCTGAACAATGAGAACACAAGGACACAGGGAGGGGAATGACAAACACTGGGGCCTTGGGGAAAGGCAGAGGAGTGGAGAACATCAGGAAAAATAACTAATGGATGCCGGGCTTAATACCTAGGAGATGGGTTGGTAGGTGCAGCAAACCACCACGGCATATGTTTACCTATGTAACAAACCTGCATGTCCTGCGCATGTGCCCTGGATCTTAAAATAAAATAAAATATGGTTTAACAATAAAAAATAATGACAATAATAATAATTGTTCACCTGACGAGTTGTACCATCTAATTACCAAGCCAAACATGAGAAAATGCTTTATTTCCATCCTTTTAAATATATGCCATGCAAAACTTTACTGCTCAACTGCAATGAATAAACACTGACTTCATTTTTAGACATCTGAAAACTCTACCACACCCCTAAAGATAGAGGGAAACACCCTTGAATATTGCAAAATCAAAGATAGAAATTGCTGCCCTAAATAAGAAAATGCTTATGGAACCTGAATAGATAGCTGAAATACATGTATGGGGCAAAACCATTCACCAATAAATCCCAATCTTCATCCCACTTTCCATGTCAATAAAGTAATGGAATAACAAAAT